TGTTTATGTACATGAAACTCTGCCCTATCTTGCCCTTGCCCTTGTAGTTTAGGATTCTCCACTTATGAGGCCTTGGGCAAGCTACTTAATCTTGTTGACTCTCAATTTCTTATCTTTTAAAATAGGGGGGAAAAAAGCCAAATCAGAGAGATAAATGACAATTATGCAAATAACAAGACAGAGAACACTGATGAATTCCAGGTACTGTGCTAGGAACTTTATACACATTTATTCCTCTCAAAAATAGCTCTTTTTTTTTTTTAAAGATTTTATTTATTCATGAAAGAGAGAGAGAGAGAGAGAGGCAGAGGGAGAAGCAGGCTCCCAAGGAGCAGGGAGCCCGACACGGGACTCGATCCCAGGACCCTGGGATCACGACCTGAGCCGAAGGCAGACGCTTAACCATCTGAGCCACCCAGGCGCCCTCAAAAATAGCTCTTTTAAGTAAGAAAAATATGACTAGTTCATTACTAATGAGCAAAGGATATGAACATACAATTAATTTATTCCATTAACAAATATTTATTCAGCAGCTACTACTGTTTTAGGCACCATGCTACAAGCAATACCAATGGTCAAGTATGTGAACAAATGGTCATCTATCATAATCATAGTCAAAGGAATGCAAGTGAAAACTAAAGTAACTTTTCCATTTTTCACCCATCGAATGGTCTACATTTAAAATAAGTGCTTTCTGCAGGATTAGATAAATGTGGTGTTTTGGGATCTCTCTGTGTGGGCAGATGCATAGATGCATAATCTTCCTGAGGGCACCTGAGCAATGTGATTAAAACAGCTATCTAAAAATCACCAACCAGAGAATGAAGCACTCCTTGTGATTTGTGGTTTCTTTTTTTTTTTTAAAGATTTTATTTATGTATTTGACAGAGAGAGACACAGCGAGAGAGGGAACACAAGCAGGGAGAGTGGGAGAGGGAGAAGCAGGCTTCCCACTGAGCAGGGAGCCTGATGTGGGGCTCGATCCCAGGACCCTGGGATCATGACCTGAGCCGAAGGCAGACGCTTAACGACCGAGCCACCCAGGCGCCCCGTGATTTGTGGTTTCTATACACCATTTGGGAATGTACTAAAATACCAAAAAAAGCCAAAACAAAAAAAAAAAAACAAAAAACCCACCACTCCTTGGAAAATGGCTACTTCAAGGTGGGAGGCAGGAAATGAACAAGGAGAGCCTGGCACATCTGGTGGCAGACAGCAAGCAAGTGATCAAAGACTAATGGCGTCACACCACAGGACAAAGAAGCCAGCTGGAAGAGGCTCCACCTCCCAAACATGGAACAATTTGAGCATCAGTGAGAGTATAACCAAATTGTATTTAAATAAATATGCTACACACCCCTAAACTTGTAAGTTATCATGGCTGAATGCGAGGGAACCAACTCATTATTTTGAAAACCAATAAAGAGAAAGAAAGAAGCGTTTATCCTGCCTTTCCTTACTATAACATGGGTAACCAAATGGTAGTTAAAGGGAAGTTCTTCTTCATAAAAATATTTTGGCTAATAAAGGAAGAAGAAATAGGGTATCATTTGTAATCCTTAATGGATCAATAGATCAATTGAACAATACTTGCTAACATCATAAAAAGACACCTCAATGTTTTGTCTCAATATCTCAACAAACAGAAACAAAAACAAAGACCTTCCTCAATCTGATCAAGCCTCTAGATACCAACTACCAATTTATAAGAAATACCAAGGATAGAGGAGCATGTTAAACAATGCCATGAGGGGGGCGCCTGGGTGGCTCAGTCGTTAAGCGTCTGCCTTCGGCTCAGGTCATGATCCCAGGGTCCTGGGATCGAGCCCCGCATCGGGCTCCCTGCTCGGTGGGAAGCCTGCTTCTCCCTCTCCCACTCCCCCTTCTTTGTGTTCCCTCTCTTGCTGTGTCTCCAACAAAACAACAACAACAAAAAAAAACAATGCCATGAGGGCACCTGGGTGGCTCAGTCCGTTAAGCATCTGCCTTCGGCTCAGGTCATGATTCCAAGGTAGTGTGACTGAGTCCCACGTCAGGCTCTTTGTTCAGTGGGGAGCCTGCTTCTCCCCCTGCTTGTACTCTGTCAAATAAATAAATAAAATCTTTAAAAAAAACAACCACCAACCAACCAACCAACCAACAAAAACAATGCCATGGGATGCAGTCAGCAAAAACCAGGCTCTGAGAAACCCTACAAGGCAAACAATCTAGTTTCTTCAGAAAATAAATGACCGGGGGAAAAAGGATGAGGAAGAATGGATAAACAGGCTTCAGAGATGTGACAACTGCAATTTCTGGACATAATTTGGATCGCAATGAACTTTTAAAAAAATCGACATTTATCAATTAGAAATTGGAACACTGACCATCAGATCTGGAATGACAGTATTGTTTTTTTTTTAATGTTTGTTTGTTTTTTAAGCAGGCTCCATGCCCAGGACAGAGCCCAAAACGGCCTGAACCCATGACTCCAAGATCAAGACCTGAGCTGCAAACAAGAGTTGGACACCTAACCGAATGAGCCAGCCAGGCACCCCGCCATTTTTTTTAAGGAGTGAAAATCTTTTCTCAAATTGTGATATATTTTAGAGATACATACTGAAATATTTATGGATGAAATTATGTAGCTGGGATTTACTTCCCACTGACATGAGGGTGGGGGAGTGGGTAGGAATACAGATAAAACAAGACTGGCCATTAGCTGATAATTACTGAAGCTAGTGATGGTGGGGCACTAGGGGTACACTGTAAGATTCTGTGTGAACAGAAAGTTTCAAAACTGTATATACATTTTGATCTAGCACTTCCCCTTTTAGGTATTTATCTTAAAGAGATATCACACATATACAAAATAATTTATGTGCAAGGATATTTATTATAGGATTGTTTGAAAGCAAAGAATAATGAAAAAAACTAAATCGACAGGATAAATAATGAAACACATATACTATGCAGCTGTTAAGAATAAGGCAACTATGTATGTATCGGTATGACCCAATTTCAAGGTTTATGGATAAGCAAAAATAGCAAGTATAGAAATTTGTTACCATTTATGTAAAAAAAACTTTTATAAAGACTGTTATGTACATGTCTACACTTAGGAGGCAAACATAAAAACAGGAAGTATATACAAGAACTTGATACAGTCATAAGTACATAGAATAACAGAGTGGGAAGGGTGTGGACATTGACTTATGTCTGTATACCAAATCGTAACTTTAAAATGTTTATCCTGTGCATGTGTTTTAACTATTCAAAGTAACACTTATTAATGTCATAGCTTTGAGCCCCTCCAAATGTACATCCTAATCATGAAACCACTTAAAAATGACACACAGAATACTACTTTCTAACCCTGTGTAGGCAGTGACACATGTAGAAAATACAGGTGCCTTAGTGAATACTCAGGATGACTGAGAAGATGGATGGCTTCGGGACACAACAGGCCTGTTGCCCCTGACACTGCCTGGACTGAGGGGATGCTTCTTGAGAGTCCCCAGATTCATTCACAAGCTCTGATCCAGGTATCACTGGGGTTGGATCAGGGCTCTTTTCCCTATCACTGTCATCTGGAGTGATACCAAAATTCTGAAAACATAACCGACAATAGGTGAAATTCTAGATATTCCATTTAGAATGAGGTTTTTTTTTTTTTTTTAAGATTTTATTATTTGACAGAGAGAGAGAGAGAACAAGCAGGAGGAGCAAGAGGGAGAGGGAGAAGCAGGCTCCCCACCGAGCAGGGAGCCTGATGCAGGGCTCGATCCCAGGACCCTGTGATCATGACCCAAGTCGAAGGCAGATGCTTAACTGACTGAGCCACCCAGGCGCCCCTGAGCTTCTAACTTTAAAGAGACTGGACTCAATTACCAGGGATTTTATTTATATTTATTTTCACAAATGATAATCATCTATGATTTCTTTCTTGGGAGCCATCCTTGTTGAATTTTTTTAAATCATAATTTTATTTAGCCTTGAAAATAAACTGGCAAGCTTCTCTCAGGTATTATCTATCTGTTCCTTGAAGTTTTAGTAGGTTAAACTACTTTGAAGGGGCAGGCTGACTTTTTATGTCCTTCTACAATCATTGATTTATTCAGGTATTCCATATTTTTGTGAACTGTGATATTTTTGTAAAAATCTATTTAAATTTCCAAATACATTAAAATTTTGCATAGTAGCTTTTTAAAAGGAATATTCACCCCTTCCTTATTCATAATGCTAAATATTTTCTTTTCCAGATCAGGGTTGTTAGTTGTCCATCTTATATCGTTAAATAAATAACTTTCATATTAAGTCTACTGTTGTTTTCTATTTTATTATTTTTTGTTTTTAATGATCATTCTTACCACTGATTTGGGTTTATTTCCCTCTAATGTTTAGAGTTGACCATTCATTCAATGTGCTTAGTATGTAACTGGCAACAAGTAGGTGCTGGAGATCCACATTTGGAGAACAAAGCCCTTACCTTCACTCCTTGGGTTGACAGGAACACAGCTTTGGCTATACTGAACTGGTTTTGATGTGTAGAACTTTTTGACTGCTTTTCAAGTTCTACCTGAAGGTGGCTTTAGACCTCCAAATGGGCAATTTCTTTTGGCTACTCTTCTGTTAACTTCTACTCTTGTGACTTTCTAGGTTTAAATATCATGATGACCTCATGATAGTTATACTTGACTGTTTTCTAGAATGAATTATCATTAACAAATGGTTATGAAGGCTTTTTAATACTTGACACATTCAGAAGGCCTCCTCTCACAAGAACTCCTTAACACTAATACTGTTACTAATTAACAATGGTAACTAATATTTATTAAACACAGGCTTTATATAAAATATCTGATAGGAAAACTCTATTGGGTAAGTATAATGATCACTGGGGCGCCTAGGTGGCTCAGTCGTTAAGTGTCTGCCTTCGGCTCAGGTCATGATCCCAGGGTCCTGGGATCGAGTCCCACGTCGGGCTCCCTGCTCTGCGGGAAAACCTGCTCTCCCATTCCCGCTGCTTCTGTTCCTGCTCTCGCTGTGTCTCTCTCTGTCAAATAGATAAATAAAATCTTAAAAAAAAAGTATAATGATCACTGCTTAAAAACAAGTAAGCTGAGGAACAGGAAGACTGCATTATTTGTCCAATGCTATACAGTCGGTAACTGGTGGAGCTGAGATAATGTTAAGTAAGATGTATGTCATGGTAAAAGGCACATTCACAAAATATCTTAATATTAGGAATTCTCAGAAATTTAACACATTTTGAGTGGTGATAGAAAGGTTTTCTATATTCATATTAATATTTTTTCAGCCTAAAATTTTCCGATGCTTGGTAAGCAGTGAGTGTGAGGCAAAAAGAATTCCCACATTTATTGAATTTTCTTCTGCTATGAGTTATCTGATGTTCCATAATGTTAGTGACAAGTGAAGGTTTTCACATTAATTACATTACATACACATTATCTAATATTGAGTCAGGTGTGAACGCCAGGTAAAAGCTCCTACACCCCTAACATTCAAGGCTTTCTAACCAGTATGGATTCTATAGTGTTCAATGAGCTGTGAGCCAAGAATAAAGGCCTGCCCACATTCTCTACATTCATAAGGTTTGATCCCAGGATGAATTCTCTGATGTTCAGTAAGTTGTGAACTACGAATAAAGGCCATTCCACATTCCCTACATTGATAGGGTTTCTCACAAGTATGAATTCGCTGATGATGGGTCAGTTGTGAAACACGAATAAAGGCTTTCCCACATTCCTTACATTCATAGGGTTTGTCACCTGTATGAATTCTCTGATGTTGAATAAGGTATGAACTACGACTAAATGCCTTCCCACAGTCCTTACATTCATAAGGTCTGTCACCAGTATGAACTCTCTGATGTCGTGTAAGCTGTGCGTGTTGTCTAAAGGCCTTCCCACATTCCTTACATTCGTAGGGTTTCTCCCCAGAATGAATTCTTTGATGTCGAGTAACTTCTGAGCTATGAATAAAGCCCTTCCCACATTCCTTACACTCATAGGGTTTCTCACCGGTATGAATCCTCTGGTGGACAGTAAGCTGTGAATGCTGTCTAAAGGCTTTCCCACATTCTTTACATTGATAGGGTCTAGCACCTGTATGAATTCTCCGATGAACAGTAAGTTGTGAGCCACGAATAAAAGCCTTCCCACAGTCTTTACATACATAGGGTTTCTCACCTGTGTGAGTTCTTTGATGCAGAATAAGTTGTGAATGCTGTCTAAAGGTCTTCCCACATTCTTTACATTCATAGGGTTTGACACCAGTATGAAGTCTTTGATGTAGAATAAGTTCTGAAGTACGGCCAAAAGCCTTCCCACATTCCTTACAGTCATAAGGTTTCTCACCTGTATGGATTCTCTGATGTTGAACAAGGTGTGAGGCACGACTAAAGGCCTTCCCACATTCCTTACATTCAAAGGGTTTTTCACCAGTGTGAGTTTTCTGATGCTGAATAAGGTGTGAGCCACGGCTAAATGCTTTTCCACATTGATTACATTCAGTCAGTTTCTCACCAATCTCATTGTTCTGATGTAAAGTGAGGGATGTACGGTGCTCAAAAGCGGGCATGTTTTCATACATGACTTTTACTTGCTTGAAACAGCATTCCTGAGTTACTTGTTGTCTTTCAAATTGGCCTTTGTATTCCCAGCCATCTCTCAAACTAGAGCCATCAAAATCACAGCATTTAAGGCTTTCCATTATCTCCCAACTGAATGACTCTATTTCAGAAATATCTTTTCGTGGAAATTTTTCACACCTGGACTCCAGCTCTGAAAAAGGAAAAAAAAATACAAGCAGTTTTATTCTTTTAAGAGAAAAAAAATTTTATAGCAGACCAGAGAGACAAAATGAAAATCACCTTAAAAAGTGAATGGCTTATGTAAGTCTCCAATATTGCTGTGCAATTTCTGAAGAGCACATGAAAGCACAAATATGATGAGGGCTCATATGGTGCCAGAAGGGAGCAAGAAAAGAAATTAAGCTGGGGTTTCTCAATTTTATAAAGATTAGAATCATCCAGGAAGCCTGTTAACAATATAAAGGTCTGAGACCACCCCAGACTGAATCAAAATCTACAGGAGTAGAGACAAGGCATATGTGTGCATATGCTTGCCTATATATATCTATACATACTTAAAAAGTATATACATATATTAAAGATATGGTATGAGGTTTCTTTTTTTTTTTAAGATTTTTATTCATTTATTTGTCAGAGAGAGAGAAAGAAAGCACAAGCAGGGGAAGTGGCAGGCAGAGGGAGAAGCAGGCTCCCCGCTGAGCAAGGAGCCCAATGTGGGGCTCGATCCCAGGACCCTGGGGTCACGACCTGAGCTGAAGGCAGACGCTTAACTGACTGAGCCACCCAGATGTCCCTATATATATTTAAATTGAGGTAAGATTCACAAAACATAAATCCCCCCATTTTTAAGAGTACAATTCAGTAGTTTGCAATACATTCTCAATATCATGAAACTATTGCCACTATCTAGTTCCAGAACATTCTCATCACCCCAGATAGAAACCTTGTGCCCGTTAAGGAGTAATTCATCATTTTGCATTCCCTCCAGCCCCCAGTAATCACTAATAGCAGAGAACCATTAATTCTGTCTCTATGAATTTTCCAGTTTCTGGGCACTTCATATAAATAAAGCATGTGTGTGTGTGTGTGTGTTTTAATTTTTTTTTAAAGATATTTATTTATTTGAGAGAGAGAGAATGAGAGACAGCACGAGAGGGAAGAGGGTCAGAGGGAGAAGCAGACTCCCTGATGAGCAGGGAGCCCGATGTGGGACTCGATCCCGGGACTCCAGGATCATGACCTGAGCTGAAGGCAGTTGCTCAACCAACTGAGCCACCCAGGCGCCGTGTGTGTGTGTTTTAAGATTTATTTATGTTAGAGAAAGAGAGAGAGAGAAAGTGGGGGGGAGGGGCAGAGGGAAAGAATCTCAAAGTAGACTCGCCATTGAGTGTAGAGCCTGATGCGGGGCTGGATTCCATGACCCTGAGATCATGACCTGAGCCAAAACCAAGAGTTGCATTGAGCTACCCTCATGCCCCAGCATCTATATTTTTAACAACATGATGCTGATGCCAATCAAAATGAAAATCCCTGTTTAAATTTTTCCATAGTCTTCTCATTGCATTTCCAAAGTCACTGGAAAAATTCCAATAAATTCCAAAGTCACTGCCCTGGTTCACAGGCTCTTGGCAAAGCGAGTCCCTGCCTACATTTGTTGTCATTCTCTTTCAACCAAGGATAATACATCTTCATATTGAACACTGTCTCCTTTCCTCTCTTAGGTACCATATCACAGGGCTTTCTAAAATAAATGTAGGTCTTTTCCATCTTAGATCTCTCATCAGGTTCTTCCATCTATCAGGAATCCTGTCCTGGGCTCTTTGTATGGCTGCTTTTCTCATCCTTCAAGTCTCAGATTAAAACTCACATTTTCAAAAATGTTTTCAGGCCTGATTCTCTCTTCCACATCTTGCCCTAGCATATAATAAATTTTTAATAATGGGTTGTTCAATGAATAAATATTGGATTCTAGAGACAGACCAATAGAACACAATAGAAAGGCCAGAAAAAGACTGAAGTTTATATGGAAATTGAATTTATTATAAAGGTGGTATTTCAAAGGGGAAAAGGATCATTTTTGTAATAAATAATGTCGGGGCAACTGGATACTCATTTGGAAAAATAAAAATGTATCCATATATTACACCACCATATACCAGAATAAACTCCAAATAGTTTTAATGTTAAAAGAAAATAGAAACCATACAAATACTAGGAGGAAACATGGTAGATTACTTTATAACATGGGGAAACCTAGCAATGAAACAATGACTCAAAATCCAAAAGCAGGGTGCCTGGGTGGCTCAGTTGTTAAGCGTCTGCCCTTGGTCCAGGTCATGATCCCGGGGTCCTGGGATTGAGCCCCACATTGGGCTCTCTGCTCGGCGGGAAGCCTGCTTCTCCCTTTCCCACTCCCCCTGCTTGTGTTCCCTCTCTCATTGTGTCTCTCTCTATCAAATAAATAAATAAAATCTTAAACAACAACAACAACAAAACAAAATCCAAAAGCAACCAAAGCAGATTGGTAAATTCCAGTATGTAAAGGTGCAAAGCAAAAAAAACCAAAAAAACTTGTACATGAACAAAAAACAACAAAAGTAAAATCAAAAGACAAATGACAGAGGAAAATACTTGAAATTTATATCACAGTTAATGGAATAATCTTCATGATTTACAAAAAGTTCTGAAAAGTTTGAGAAATACCCTCAAAAAATTAAACATACAATTACCATCTGATCCAGCAATTCCGCTCCTAGGATATACCCCAAAGAAGTGAAAACAGGCACTCAAAACACTTGTACACCATTGGTCACAATAGCATTATTCACAATAGCCAAAAGGTGGAAAGAACCCAAGTGTCCATCAACAGGTGAATGGATAAATGGAATGTGGTATGTACATACAATGGAATATTACTCAGCTTTTTTTCGTGAAATTCTGGTAAGTGCTATAACATGGATGAGCCTTGAAAACATTATGCTAAGTGAATTAAACCAGATACAAAAGGCCACATATTATTTGACTCCACTTACATGAAGTACTTAGAATAGTCAAATTTATAGAGATAGGAAGTAGAATAGAGGTAATCATGGGCTAGGAGAAAGGGAAAATGGAGAGTTATTGTTTAATGGATAGAGTTTCTATTTGGGATGATGAATAAATTCTGGAAATGGGTAGTGGCAATGGTTGCACAACACTGTGAATGTAATTAATGCCACTGGATTATATACTTTAAAAATGGCCAAATGGTAAGTTATATGTGATATTTATTAAAATAAAAACAAACTAAAAACCTAATTAAAAGCTTCCCAAGACCCCAAGAACTACAAGCACTTAGAAAATACACCAACTAAGAAAAGAAAAAGAAAAAAAAAAAAAAAAAGAAAACACACCAACTAAATATCCTGTATGGAATAAACAGTAATGGGCTTCCTAGCAATAGAATATAGAATTCCAGTGGAGTTATACCATATACACTTTTAATTTATGCATATTTAATTATCTGTGTTCAAAAAACATATACATCCACGGGGTGCCTGGGTGACTCAGTTAAATGTCTGACTCTTGATTTTGGCTCAGGTCGTGATCTCAGGGTTGTGAGATCAAACCCCGCATTGGGCTCTGTGATGGACATGGAGTCTGCTTAAGATTCTCTCTGTCTCAAAAAAAAAAAAAAGATTCTCTCTGTCTCCCTCTGCCCGCCCCCACTCCCCAACTCATGCTCACACTCTCTCTTTCTCAAAACAAAAAAACCATATACATCCACAGTGAAGGAAACAACAGAACTAAAAGGCAACTTATGGAATGGAAGAAGATATTTGCAGATGACATATCCAATAAAGGGTTAGTATCCAAAATCTATAAAGAACCGATACAACTCAATACCAAATAATCCAGTTAAAAATGGGCAGAAGGGGCGCCTGGGTGGTTCAGATGGTTAAGCATCTGCCTTTAGCTCAGGTCATGATCCCAGGGTCCTGGGATCGAGACCCACATCAGGCTCCCTGTTCAGCAAGGAGCCTGCTTCTCCCTTGCACTCTGTTTGTGCTCTATCGCTCTCTCTGTCAAATAAATAAATAAAATCTTTAAAAAAAATAAAAATAAAAATGGGCAGAAGACAAGACATTTCTCCAAAGAAGACATACAGATGGCCAACAGATACATAAAAAGATGCTCAATACCACTTATCACCAGAAAAATGCAAATCAAAACTACAATGAGAAATCACCTCACACCTGTCAGAATGGCTAAAATAAATAACACAAGAAACAACAAATATTAGCAAGGATGTGAAGGAAAAGGAACCCTTGTGCACTGTTGGTGGGAATACAAATTGGTGCAACCCTTGTGGAAAACAGTATGGAGGTTTCTCAAAAAATTAAAAATGGAACTACCCTATGATCCAGAAATTGCACTACTGCATATTTACCCCCAAAATACAAAAACACAAATTCAAAGGGATACATGTAAGTGAAATAAGTCAGAGAGAGACAGATACCATATGATCTCGATCTCACTCATATGTGGAATTTAAGAAAACAAATGAGCAAAAGGGAAAAAAAAAAGAGAGACAAACTAAGAAACAGACTCTTTTTTTTTAATAGATTTATTTTATTTTATTTTATTTTTATTTGACACAGAGAGAGAGTACAAGCAGGGGGAGCGACAGGCAGAGGCAGAGGGAGAGGGAGAAGCAGGCTCCCTGCCGAGCAGGGAGCCTGATGCAGGGCTCGATCCCAGGACGCTGGGATCATGACCTGAGCCGAAGGCAGACGCTTAACGGTCTGAGCCACCCAGGTGCCCCAGAAACAGACTCTTAATTGCAAAAAACAAGTACCAGAGGGGAAGGTGGGTGGGGAGATGGGAGCAATAGGGAATGGGGATCAAAGAGTACACTTACCATGACGAGGAAAAAAAAATGGTTAAAAAAAAAAGCCAGCCTCCCAAAAAACGCAAAAAAACCCTAAAGCAAACCCATATACAGAGTGGTAAGCAGAATAATGATTGCCCCCTCAGGCCCCAGCCAAAATGTCCTAATTGCGGGAACTGTGAATATGTTCTATTACACAGCAAGGGGGAATTAAGGCTGGAGATGGAATTAAGGTTGCTACTCCGCTGACAATGAGATGGGGATTACCGGGGTGGGCTCACTGTAATCACATGGGTCCTTATAAGTGAAAGAGGGAGGTAGGAGAGTCAGAATCAGAGAGGGAGATTTGAAGATGCTATCCTGTGGGCTTTGAAGATGGATATATATATGGTTCTCCTTCTAAAGAAAGGATGCAGAGGGCGCCTGGGTGGCTCAGTGGGTTAAGCGACTGCCTTCGGCTCAGGTCATGATCCTGGAGTCCCGGGATCAAGTCCCGCATCAGGCTTCCTGCTCGGCGGGGAGTCTGCTTCTCCCTATGACCCTCTTCCCTCTCGTGCTTTCTATCTCTCATTCTCTCTCTCTCTCAAATAAATAAATAAAATCTTTAAAAAAAAAAAAAGAAAGGATGCAGAAAGGAACACGGCCCTGTAGACACCTCAGTTTTAGTCCACTGAGATGCATTTTGGACTTCTAATCTCCACAAGTGTAAGATAATCCGTATTGTTGTAAGCCACCAAGTTTGTGGTACTTTGTTACAGAAGCCACAGGAAAACTAGTACACACAGAAAGAAAAACCTGAGTACTTTATTGATGTATCTATCACACCTGTTCAATCTTAACCCTGGAGTCTACGCTCCCATGGAAATGTAGGTTAAAGTACAAAGAAAAGCCAGAAGGTTGCTTCCTGGTTTTTGAGCTTTGAAGTGCAGATGTCTTGGTGATTTAAAGCTGGTATAGGTGCATGGCAAATATAATTTTGATTATTTCTCAAACATGGGTTTTCAGTTATATCTCTAAATCAGGGGTTGGCAAACTTTTTCTTTTTTTATGATTTTATTTTTTTTAATTTTAAGTAGGCTCCACACTCAACAAGGAGTTTGAACTCACAACCCTGAGATCAAGAGTTGCATGCTCTACCGACTGAGCCAGCCAGGGGCCCCATTTTTTTTTTTTTTTAAGTAAGCTCTACATTCAATGTGAGGTTTGAACTCAAGACCCTGAGATCAAGAGTTGAATGCTCTACCAACTGAGCCAGCCAAGACATCCTGGCAAACTCTTTAAAGGGCCAGATGGTAGGGATGCCTGAATGGCTTGGTTAGGCATCTGACTCTTGGTTTCGGCTCAGGTTGTGATCTCAGGGTCGTGAGATCGAGCCCTGCATTGGGCTCCACACTCAGCAGGATGTCTGATTGAGGATTTTCTCTCCCCCTCTCCCTCTGCCCCTCCCCCTGCTCACACTCTCTCTCTCAAATAAATAAATAAAATCTTTTTAAAAAAAATCTTAAAAAAATAGAAGAATAGAATTCTTTCTGGGGAAGACAGCATTTCACTTAATTGGAGTTCAAGGCTAGTGTTTTCTAGCATCAAAATTGATGGTAAATGTTCATCTGTTGGTGCTGATCAGTAATGAGATTTTATGTGTTTATTTAATCTTTTGTAATGTTTCATACAGGTATCAATGCCAAATACCGATATCAATCCACAAACATCATTTTAATTTCGTATATGCAACCCTTAGAAGGCATTTACAGAATTCAATAGGCTCACAGGCCATATAAAAACAGGCGGCAGGCTGGATTTGGCTGACAGACCATATAGTGTGCAGATGACTGGTTTATATCTTTATTGTTAGTGAGGATTAATCCCTAATTTATGAAATATTGTTAAGAATAATAATGGTATGAAAGAAGAATTCAGGATCATTAAGACAACATTAAAACAAAATCAGAGTGGGTTAACCAACTGAGCCACCCAGGTGCCCCAAATCAAGATATTTTCATGTGGTCAAAACCAGAATTTGTTGGGGCGCCTGGGCGGCTCAGTCGTTAAATGTCTGCCTTCGGCTCAGGTCATGATCCCAGAGTCCTGGGATCGAGCCCTGCGTTGGGCTCCCCGTTCGGCGGGAAGCCTGCTTCTCCCTCTCCCACTCCCCCTGCTTATGTTCCCTCTCTTGCTGTTTTGTCTCTGTCAAATAAATAAATAAAATCTTTAAAAAAAAAAAACTTAAAATTTCCTTTTGTGTAGGTCTGCTCAACAAATGCTGTTTTTTGTTTTTTTCTGTAATGATTTTATTTATTTGACAGAGAGAGACACAGCGAGAGAGGGAACACAAGCAGGGGGAGTGGGAGAGGGAGAAGCAGGCTTCCCGCCGAACGGGGAGCCCAAGGCAGGGCTCGATCCCAGGACTCTGGGATCATGACCTGAGCCAAAGGCAGACGCTTAATGACTGAGCCGCCCAGGCGCCCCAAGGGTGTTCTTTAGAGAGAGAAAAAAATAATCCCAGATGAAAGTAAATAATAATGATAATAACAGAGAAGTTGTGGGGTATTCAAAGTATTCAAGGATTAAGTATTCAGTATTCAAAGATTCCAGTATCATCCAGCATGTGCTAATTAATAATACTTGATAATCTTTACTTAGTGGTCACTCCTGTGTGCCATTGTTCTGGGCAGTTTCACATGATTAATTCCTATAACAATCATAATAATAACTACATGAGGAAGGCTCTGTTTTTAACTCATTTGCAGAGGATAAAACTGAAGCACTCTAGAGAATTTAAGCAATTTACCTAAACTCACAGATCTAGTAATTGGCAGAGCCAAGATTTGAACTCAGTCTGATTCCCAAGTAGTGCCCTTAGCCACCACGTGACCCTCTCTCTCAAACATTTAGAGAATAAATGAACTGCTGAATTGGGTAAAGTGAGCTGTTTTAAGAAATTAAGTATTTTTTAAGGGATGAAGATACTTGTGGGAAAAAGGATCCACAGTACAGTTAAAAAGGCAGCCACTGAGGAAGAAGGGAGCATGTCCTTTTTTGAAATGGGAGGAATCCAAGCAAGAAGAAGAGAGGGATTAATGGGGGTAAGGGCAAGGTTCCCTGGGGATCGGATGCTGACAAGATCTTTGCTCTTCGTGTCTTCATGTGGCAGGCTGTTGATCGGCAATTTTCAGTATGGCTTGGAGGGAAGCTTCTCAACAATAACTCAAGCTACTGCTATCAGTTGACTCACCCAACAGCTATTATTCCCAATGACCTCTCCCAGTGGATCACCCCTCACTCACCTGGACACCATGGTCCTGTCATATCATTTGTAATCATCCAGGGTTCTCTCCCTTGCTCCAATAAGGAAATGACATCAGGCTTAGAAATGGAAAGTCCTGTTTACAGGAAAAGAAATGGAGCATGATTGTCCTGTTCCAAAATTCAAACCCAGTCCCTTGATCACCAAGGAAGAGAAACAATTATGAAGGAAGGAGTAAAGTTTGTCCAAAGGATAGGTGCCCATGGAACTACCCATTTCCACTTCCATAAAGCACAAACAATTCCCTTGGGAGCAGAGAGCAGAGCAGAAATTCAGCCAGAAACCTGTAAGTCTCCCTAGAAATTCACCATGAAGATACCAGAAATTCCAGAAGGCTAGTCCTGAATCATTTAGAGTAGATAACTATGGTGGTCATTCTCCATTTGCTCTCCTCCCTGCTCAATCCATTCCTCCCTGTTCTTGGTCCTGCCCCAGACAGTTTACCTGTAAGGACTGTATTATCCTGGCCCCATGGTTTCTCATTGGGTTTGGCATTATGGAAAGCATCAGCAGGAGGCCAGTGGGTAGGATGAGAGAGTTCAGAGTATTTATCCCTCTCCCTCCCTCCTCTGATCGGGGAGTTCTGGAAATGGCTACAGTTGCTGCTGGGCCCTTCTGCATGACTCCAGCTCTCACCATGGTCCAGTGGCAGTTTTCCCTCTATACCAGAGGTGATAACAACCTTCCATTGTTGTAGTCCCTGGGAGCCTTGTTTCCTGTCTGGCCCTGCATTACACAACATCCTTACCTAGTGAGACCAAGTTACTGAAGTTCTCCAGAGTCACATCCCTGTATAAGTCTCTCTGGGCAGGTTCTAGGCACTTCCATTCTTCCTGAGAGAACTCTATGGCCACATCCCTGAATGTTACGAATCCCTGAAATAATAAACCCATGCATTACTAGTAAATGAAAGGACTTTTATTTTTTTCATTTATTGTGAAAATTTTCAAAACATTTCACAAAAGTATACAGAGTAGGATAATGACCCCCATAAAACCATCGCTCTGCTTCAACAATTAACATGACTTTGCAAATCTTGTTTTATTTCTTCCCTTCTGTTTTTTTCACCCCTGTTGTATTTTGAGGCAGATCCTACATAGCAAATACCAAACATCAATGTATTTTACCTATAAATACTTTAGCAGCTAACAGATCAGTCTTTTTTTTTAAAGCATACCAACCAGAATACCATTATCATACTTAATAAAATTGACAATTATTTCCTAATAACCAGATCAAGTTTCAAATTGCCCCAATCTTCTCAAAAGTGATATTTTTTTACAGTTGGTTTGTTCAAATCAAGATTCAAATTAGATCTACACATTGCATTTAGTGGATAGGTTTCCTTAAGTCTAGAATCTATAAGAGCCCCCAGAAACCCTTCAGAAAGTTTTATTGCTATTTATTTATTAAATAAACATTTGAATCAGTAGAATCTCTCACATTGTTGGGTTATTGCATCTACATGGAATGGTTTAAGATGTTGCTTTACTTCCATACTTTGTGTGAAAGGGTAGTTAGATCTGGAGGCCTGATTCACATTTTTAGAGGGGCAGGAATATATCAGATGTGGTGCTATGTACTACCTATCGCATCCATCAGGAGGCACATAATAACTGGTTGTACCATTTTAAATGAAGTTAAAATTGATGAGTAGGTTTAGGTTTTGATAATCTGACTCATCCAGGAAAATGTCTGAAAGATGGAAAGAGAGGAGATGGAGAAGGGCATTGTAAGAAGGAGGTGATCAAGCAAGCAAGCAAGCGAGCGAGCTAGGGCGGGATGCCTATGCCATGAAGGTAGTATAATAAGTACATTTGACTAGAGGTTTACATACTTTTGAATATTCCTGTAGCTAGAGCTAAGACCTCTTTCATACAGCAGGACTCTTCTATTTCCTAGAAGGGTCTGGGAATGAACAAAATCTAGCTAAGTGGGATCTTACAAATAAACAAAATAGCATATACAAAATACACAGCAAACAAGGGCCTTGCAAATAATAAAGTCTTTTAAAAATTTCTCCATGGAGATAATGAAAAAGATAGAATCCAAAATGTCTTATAAATCTCTAACTTAAAATACAGGCCTTATAGAAATTTTAAAACTATCCTAAAGACCCAGGTGCATAATTAGTTGGAGGATCTCAATCAGGGTTTTCCCTTCCCCTTCAGGCATTTGGGATCATGCAGGGGATGGTCTGGTTGTTAAAATGTTGGGGGAGGTTGGCTGGGATTGGGACTTTGCATCAGGAATGTTGTGTCCTGGTTTATCTGGGCCATGTACCCAGGACAGTCCCATACAATAAAGAACCATACTGCTGAGAATGCCAACAGTGTCTCCACCAAGAAGCAGTTTGTTAGATATCATGAGCATATTTTTTATGATGGCAAATTTTATAGTAAACACAGGGATTTTTATTTGCTGTATAATGATGCACCTTATGTCCTGGAAGATGTAATCATCCCCTTATTTGGGAGCAACTAACTTAAAATCTTTAACGTTTATTATGTACCTGTTAATTATCTATCATTCTTCACTGTCCACTTTTCCTTATTCCTGAAATAAGAAAGCCGATGGAAGGTGTACCTCAGTCACAGAAATATGGCTCACAACTAACACACATTGGTCAACCTCAAAATGGACAATTTTATGGCTGTCTCTCATAAATTCCCTTGCAAGACCAAAGAACTTTCTGTAACCAAAGTTCCCACAGTGCCCAATCTGAAGGTCTCATAAAATAGGAGATGTCACCACACACTGAGACCAAGACCAATCACTCCAGCTCTGACCATGTGTACACGGCAAGGGTGGGGAGGCTTCTAGTGCAATCACCTAGGCTATAACACCTATTTAATGCTTCTCTAAGCTCTCGAGAAGGTAAGGAAAATTAAATCCCAGAGCTAACAACGATAAAAATACACACCACAAACACACGTGCATTGAACACAGAGAGATAAGCAAATATGTTAGCAGGGGCCACACTGAAGTCAAACAATTTGGGGATTAACCTTAGTATGGGGCCTAGGACACATACCAAATGGAATGAGAGCCCATGACCCTCACTTTAAAGCTGGGATCCTAGAAGAGCTACTCTCTCTGTGAAATGGTAGGCTCCAATGAAAACCTTGTTGGAAAAAAGTAACAAGGAACCTTCTGCACTCCAGGTGAGAAAAAAAGGATTATCATTAATGATACCACTATTACTACTAATAATCATTTCCCTTGCCCATCTACAACCCAGGGCCTACTTGCAAGGAAGCCTGGAATTTAAAGTAACATTATTCATGCAGTTGGAAGAAACCCCATGTGAAAAATTAGTGTGCCAAGTCTGAGAACACTCATAGGTGCAAAACCTTTCTGAAGATAGGCATTCTCTGCCCAGTTCCCTAAGGACTACCACATACTAAATTAAGTCAACTAAGACAATTCAAGAGGGAAAGATCAGTCTTTTTAACAAATAGTGCTGGGACAAGTAGATATTCATATGCAAAAAAAGAAGTTAGACCCCACCTCATACCATATATAAAAATTAACTCAAAATAGGTTGTAGAACTAAATGTAAGGTTGTAGAGCTAACACTACAACTCTTAGAAGAAAACATAGTATGACTTCATGACCTTGGTCAGGCAGTGGGTTCTTAGATATGGCATCAAACACAGTAACAAAAGGACAAACAGTTAAAATAAACTTAATCAAAACTAAAAACATTTGTGCTACAAATGATTCCATCAAGAAAGTAAAAATCCCAGGGCACTGGGTGGCTCAGTTGGTTCAGCATCTGAGTTTTGATTCTGGCTCAGGTCATGATCTCAGGGTTGTGAGATCAAGCCCCACTTCGAGCTCTGCGCTGGGTGGAGGAACTTGCTTAAGATTCTCTCCCTCGGGACGCCTGAGTGGCTCAGTCAGTTAAGTGTTTGCCTTTGGCTCAAGTCATGATCCCAGAGTCCTGGGATCAAGTCCCGCATCGGGCTCCTTGCTATTCGGGGAGCCTGCTTCTCCCTCTGCCTGCAGCTCCCCCTGCTTGTACTTGCTCTCTGTCTACATCTCTCTGACAAGTAAATAAATAAAATCTTATTAAAAAAAAAAGATTCTCTCCCTCTCCCGCTACCCTGCTCCACCCCCTCCATTAAAGAAAGAAAGAAAGAAAGAAAGAAAGAAAGAAAGAAAGAAAGAAAGAAAGAAAACATCCAAATCAAAAAACTAGGAGAAAATGCTTGCAAATCTTATATCTGATAAGGGACCCGTGTCCAGAATATATAAAGAACTCTTGCGATTCAACAACAAAAAAGACAAAACAATTAAAAACTAAGCAAAGAATCTGACTAGTGATTTCTCCAAAGATCTACAAATGGCCAAAAAGCATATGAAAAGATGTTCAATACCACTAATCATTAGGGAAATGCAAATCAAACCTATAAGAGGCCACTTCACATCCTTTAGGATGACTATTACCAAAAAAACAAAATAACACATGTTGGTGAGGATGTAGTGAAATCAGAACCCTTTTACATTGCTAGCAGGAATGTAAAATGGGGCAGCTACTTTGGAAAACAGCTTTGACAGTTTCTCCAAACATTAAACATAGAATTATGTAGGTACAGAGAAATGGAAACATATGTCCACCTCCAAACCCTGGTACACACCAATGTTCACAGTAGTGTTATTTGTGATAGCCTAAAAGCAGAAATAACCCAAATGCCCATAAACTGATGAACTGAAGAATAAAATGTGGAATATACATATCCATGGAATATTATTTGGTGTAAAAACAAACTACTGATAAATGCTACAACATGGATGAAGCTTGAAAACATACTATGTGAAAAAAGCCAGACATGAAAGAGCAAATATTGTAAGATTCTATTCATGAAATGTCCAGAATAGGCAAACCCACAGAGACAGAAAGTAAATGAGTGGCTGCCAGTGGATGAGGAGGAGACATTGAGAGAGACTGTTAATGTAAATGGGATTTCTTTTTGGGGTAATGAAAATGTTCTAAAATGGGTTGTGCTGACGGTTGTATAACTCTATAGTAAAAACCACTGAACTTTACACTTACGTGGGTGAACTTCATCATATGTAAATTATATATATAATAAAGCTGTTAGAAAAATTTATTGAGGACCTCAAAGAACTGTTAATGCTGGGTATATCTATCAATAGTTACATTAGAAATTAAAAGTGAGAGATTTAAAAATACTAATTAATTTATTAAAATAACCAATAATAAACCTGTTACATGTTAAGTAATATACATTTTAAGAAAAATAACTATTGTCAAAAAATTTAATAGCTTTGTTTTATGTTTTTGCAATCTCTTTTATGACTGGCTGAATAAAAAGTTGGATTTTCACATCTACTTCTACATTCAATCTGTTGGGATAACACTTATTATATAGCTTCTAGGAAACTCCACTGTACACTCATTGGAGAATGTGACTAAAAAAGGCAAGTAACATTTTAGTATTAACTCCTGAAAGGATGTCAAAGTCTTCCTGGACCATGCTTTGAGAACTGCTAATCTAGTGCTACACAACTTAACATGAATGATTTGTAAACACATGTGTTGAATGAAAAAATCTGGTAAAAAATATAGAGTATGATAACTACAAAAATTTAAAAACAAAAAACTCAATAGTATGTTGCTTAGTAGCATTCATTCATGGTAAAACTATTATAAAAAATCAAAGGACTGATTGACACAAAATTGAAAGCAGTGATTACCATTGGTGGGAACAGTAATGCAATGTGGGAAGGGATATGATCTGGGAAGGGAATGCAGGCTGCTCAGATGGTATATTAATCTGGGTAATGAGTACATTGATACTTTATTATTTTTTACACCATATACATGTTATAGATATTTTTTTAAAAAACATTTTATTTATTTATTTGACAGAGACACAGAGAGAGAGGGAACACAAGCAGGGGGAGTGGGAAAGGGAGAAGGAGGCTTCCCGTGGAGCAGGGAGCCCAATGTGGGGCTCGAACCCAAGACCCTGGGATCATGACCTGAGCAGAAGGCAGACGCTTAACGACTGAGCCACCCAGGCGCCCCTATAGATGTTTTTTTATATATTCTTTGGTAGTATGAAATGTTTTATGATTTTTAACGAGGGAGTAACATTTAAAAATAGAACAGAAACCACCTAGATTAATGGAAAAGATCAAAGTTATCTCATCTCTGGCCCCACTCAACCGTGGTTCTGATAAGAGGGGAACTCTCATATTTCTCTTAAGGGAATATATTTCTGCTCCACTGGTAAGAGCACTGTGTGCCTATGTCTATACTGCTGGAGAAGAGAGAGCCACTCATCTCTGGAATGGAGGAACTGGGAGCAAGAATGGGGCTCAGTGAGACAGGGAAGTTCCAGGATGAAGAACACACATGTTCATATGATTTGAAAGGAAGAGAGATTATTTCAAGTATAGAGGAAATTCAACTTACCTGTGCCATGGCTTTTAGAACTACCTGAGCTGCTCTGATTTCTTTAGATTCTTCTCTTGGACAAAGGCAGAGTCCTAAAAAAGCAGAGTAGGGGGAAAAAGGGGAAATCTCTCATAAACTGAACTTACCTGAGCACTCCTAAACAGAGGACCTTAAAATAACTGTACCCAATGTCCCTGCTTTGCTTCCCTTGCCCTCCCCCTTGTCCCACCACCCAACACTCATATCAATAACTAAAGAGTTAACAAAACCCAGCCCCTCCTGAAACTCTAGGGAAACAAAGATAGTCAACAAAGATAGGCTCCAGCAGTCACGTAGAATCTAACCGCCTCAGCAGGAGGGATTCCAGTCTGAACAGTTCTCCAACTTGCTGATGCTAATTTAAACTCTATATGGGGCCTAGATGGCTCCCACCTATTCCAAGCTGATCTTCCTCTGCAACTGCTGCAAGGAGAATCAAAACTCAGACTTGCTCACTTTACCCGCTAAGGCTGAGGACAATACCCACAGGCTAGCAGCATAGCATACCTGTGGAGGTCAAACCTTGAGAAAAAGATATCCCTAAACAGTCTTCCAGCTACTCTGGGCTCAACAGGCAAAACCTCTTGGGTACTTCCCTGAATCTTTTTTTTTTTTTTTTTTTAAGATTTTATTTATTTATTTGACAGAGAGATAGAGAGCACAAGTAGGCAGAGTGGCAGGCAGAGGGAGAGGGAGAAGCAGGCTCTCCACTGAGCAGGGAGCCGGACATGGGGCTCGATCCCAGGACCCTGGGATCATGACCCGAGCTGAAGGCAGCCGCTTAACCGACTGAGCCACCCAGGCGCCCCGGTACTTCCCTGAATCTACTTTCTCCTTTTTTTTTTTCTTTTTTTAAAGATTTTATTTATTTGACACACAGAGAGAGTGCACAAGCAGGGGGAGCAGCAGGGGCAGCAGGAGAAGCAGACTCCCTGCTGAGCAGGGAGCCCAATGTGGGACTGGATCCCAGGACCCTGGGATCATGACCTGAGCGGAAGGCAGATGCTCAATTGACTGAGCCACCCAGGTGCCCCTACTTCCTTCTTCTAAGTCCAGAAAGGAATACTACCTACACCAGAGGCTTAATCAGAGACTCCAAACGTGGCTGGACTTACCAGACAGGAGCAAGAAAATCACAGTAAATAGGTATCTTACAAGCATATCTGCATATCCAGAGTATTGACTTGAATGGGAACTTAATTTCTAGAAGCCTCTTGGGCCATCACTCCTAATTTTCCATCTAAGCCTCCCTTTCTGCTTTCCTGCAGAACATCACTTCCTCACTGGCTGGTGTTTGCTAAGGCTGGAGTTCTGTGGAAAATTGCTTCAGAGTAATGAGAACTCAGGGGTTTTAAGGAGGGTGGTAAGGCTGGTTCTAAAGAGGTGCAAGAAGCTTCCTATGGTTTTTGGGTTGGTGGGTCAGAAGGAAGACTAACTGGGCGCCTGGGTGGCTCAGTTGGTTAAGCGACTGCCTTCGGCTCAGGTCATGATCCCGGAGTCCCGGGATTGAGTCCTGCATCGGGCTCCCTGCTTGGCGGGGAGCCTGCTTCTCCCTGTCACCCTCCCCCCTCTCATGTACTCTCTCTCTCTCATTCTCACTCTCTCAAATAAATAAATCTTTAAAAAAAAAAAAAAAGAAGGAAGACTAACTTACTCAATGGCAGTGGTGTCAAGGAAAATGTCCTCTAAGTTGTAGAATATGAATTGGGACTTAAAAATCAGAGAATTTTATTAGGCAGAAAAGGTACAGAAGAGTATTCTGATTGATGAAGAGCAGTGACAAAAACAGTGGACCAAAAGTATATGGTGTATTTGTGGAGGAGAGAATAATTTGGAATGACTTGTACAGTTTGGGGAAAGGTCTAGACCAGTGCTGTCCAACAAATCTTTCTGCGATGATGGAAATCTTTGTATCTGTACCATCAATAATGTAGCCATCAGGGGCGCCTGGGTGGCTCAGTTGGTTGGGCGACTGCCTTCGGCTCAGGTCATGATCCTGGAGTCCCGGGATCGAGTCCTGCATCGGGCTCCCTGCTTGGTGGGGAGTCTGCTTCTCCCTCTGACCCTCCCCCCTCTCACGTGCTCTCTCTCTCTCTCATTCTCTCTCTTTCAAGTAAATAAATAAATCTTTAAAAAAAAATAATGTAGCCATCAGCCACATGCACTAAGCACTTAAAAAATGCCTAGTATGATTTTTCCTGAATTTTTAATTAAATTTAAATTTAATTAGTTCTAGAATCTAGAGGAAGATAATGCTAGAGATGGTATCAGGGGTAGGCGAATGAATGAAATAAGATAATAATGAGGGCAAAGACCAGGTCTCATCATCACTGTGACTGGCACTTGCCATGGTGTCTGGAGAAGGGTCCAGTGAATACTAACTTAAATATAATTTATAATATATATAATATATAATATATATAATATATATAATATAAATATAAATGTTTGTTTTTCACCCAGTAAGGAATGGAAGGCCACTGAAGAATTTACAGAGGGAAGTTATAGGGCCAATATGGCCAGATTCTTTTATTGGAGAGAAGCAAAATTGGAGTCAGAGAAATCAATTGGAAGGTGCTTATACTTTTTTTCAAGTAAAGAACCTGACCCAGGATAATGAGGGTGGAAATAAGGAGGAAGGGTATAATTTCAAGATAAAGAGAAGTAAAATCCACAGGCTCTGGCACCTGATCAGATATGGAGGCAAAGAAAGAGAGAGGAATCAAAAGTTCTTTCAGATTTACTGAGCTCCTACCTCAATTGGCATGGTTCTAGGTGTGAGGAAGATAATAAATCCAGTCCCTGTCCCAGTGGATCTCACATTATAATGGAAAGAGACAACAACAAATACTGATATACTGACACTGATATTCCTATTTTTATGTCAGATGGCCAAAGTCCTGTGGAGAAAAATTAAGTAGGGAGCTTCGGGGGAATGAAGGTGGCCGAAGAAGGCTTTTCATTGAGAAGGTGATATATAAGCACAGACTGAATAGAGTGAAAAATGCAGATATCTAAGAGGAGTGCATTCCTAGTATAGGGAACAGCAATGCAAAGGCCTCCAGGTAGAAGCAGGCTTTCTTTGATTAATAAAGACTGGGGTGGCTGGAATGGAGTGTGCAAAAGAAAGAGGGTCAGAAGGTCATTTGGGTGAGAGACGTAGCTGGAAGATGAATCACATGGGGCTTGGGCGCCATTGTAAGTACTTTGGTTTTTTTTACTCTTGAGTAAGACAGGAAGCCACTAAAATGTTTTAAGACAAGGGATGGCATAATCTGATTTACACTGAAAAGGATCACTCACAGAAAGTGAACTAAGAAGACAAGGGAGGAAGCAGGGAGACAAGTGGAAGGTTACTGCAATAATCCAGGCAAGGAGTGAGGGGGGCTTATACTAGGGTGGTGGTGATAACTGACCAGATTAAATATTCTCTGAAGGGAGAGCTGGCAGGATTTGCTGATTTTAGGTATAAAAGCAAATAAAAAAAAAAAAAGCCATGATGACACTAAGCTGTTTGGCTTGAGTAACTGGAAGTATGAAGTTGTCAATAAACCAATTATGAGTTCTGTTTTAGACTTCAGTACTTGAGATTACTACTACACATCACCCACGCAGTGGGCTGTAGTTTTGTAAACGTCCAACAAGGCGATGTTAGCAGAAATTAAACCAGGTGTGTTCTCCGATGAAGCAATTCCATAGCTGAGACTATCCAAAAGATGTGTGGGGGCTACAGGATGGACACACTGCTGACATTGGAAACAACTTGGAGAGAACTTAAAAGGAGGATTGGTTAAATAAATGAATTACAGTATATGAACACAATGGAAACAGTTGCCATAAAATGAACAACACATACATTTGTTGATGTTAAGATGTCAAACAATGGTGGGCGGATAAGGTAGCTAATGAAACAGTATGAAAAAAAAAGAAACAGTATGTATAGTGTAATCCTATTTTTTTTAAAGATTTTATTTATTTATTTCACAGTGAGATAGACAGCACAAGTAGGCAGAGGGAGAGGGAGAAGCAGGCTCTCCGCTGAGCAGGGAGCTGGACGTGGGGCTCGATCCCAGGACCCCAGGATCATGACCCGAGCCGAAGGCAGCCGCTTAACCGACTGAGCCACCCAGGCGCCCCAGTGTAATCCTATTTTTATAGGAAAAATATACATATGTTCTATATATGCATGTGTGTGTACACATAAGATAGACTGAAAGGATTTTCAATTACATTTTTCAACATTTGTCTCTAGGTGTATATCTATGAAAAGAATCTTTGTTTTCTCTATATTTTCAAGTTTTCCCTTAAGCATATGTTTTATAATCATAAGTAATAGAATGTATACCTTCCTCTTCATTGGGGGGGTTAACTATAAAAGGAAATACGAATGGAGTGATTCATGAATGACAGTGAGGTGCTTTTGGGAACTTATATGCTGAAGGAGCTTTATTTCCTCCATTTGTTCTAGAGCCTTTGGGAGGCTTGTTCCCAAACAGTAACTTAAAGCTCCTGACTTTGCACAGAGAAAGTGAGCTTTCACATGAAAATCTTCCATTTTCCTTAGTCTCCTCACTCACCTGTGCACAGACTTCTTTGTCAACCCTCAATCCAGGATATCCTCCTTGCTCCAAAAAGAAGTCACACTTAATTTACAGAAGCAACTTCCTACACACAGAAAAAGAAATGGGTCTTACCAAGTGTGGTAGACATTAACTGAATTACTACTGTTTCACCATTATCCTGTTTTCCTCTCCTTTGGGGCATATAGATGGCATTTTCCTGACCCTTGCAGTCAGGTAGGGCCATAAACTGGTTTTGGCCAATGGAATCTGAGCTAAGGTGATGTGTGTTCCTTCAGTCTGAGGCACTGGCAAGACTGCACAATTCTCCAGTCTTTCTATTCCCTGATGTGGTGGCCAAGGGGACTATGTGTCAGATGGTACAGCTATAGGTTGATTGAGTCTGCTTTGGTCTGGGACCCTGCCTATACTGATGCACATTAGACATGTAGCATGATCAAGTTAATAAGTTATTTTGTTAGCCACTGAGATTTGGGGGTTGTTTGCTACTACAGCATAACAGCCTGTCCTAACTAATAATCTAATTCAGCTATATTCTGACGATATAAAAATTCAGATTCTGGCCTGTGGTTGATGCGAGAAAGAACAATTTTTTAAAAAGTCAGAGGAAGCTTCAGAAATAATAGAACAGAACTGGTTCATTTCCAACTCTATACACCTCAAAGGGATTTTTCACATTGTGTGAAATCTTTCATGTTGTACTAAATTTTAAGGATGTAAACATACATTTTTCCAGTATAAACATCAACCAAAATCATTACAAGGAGAGATACATACATTCTTAGGCAATATTCAGCATCCTAAGTAAGACAAGAGCAGATAGGTTAAACAAATGAAAGATTTCTATAGAACAGTAATTCTAAGTACTCACAAATTTAGTAATTAATACTTAATAACATAAAAATGTTTAAGATATGATTAAATGAAAAAAAAGCAGGTTACAAAACAGTTGGGCATCATGTGATCCTATTTGTAAAATATAAAGATATATCAATACAAACAATATAGACAAATCAGATGAAAAAGGTCTAGGAAGTTTTATCCTTAAAGATTACTTTGGTTATCTCTGGGTTGTGAACTTCAATGTTGCTAGTTTTACTTAAGTGTATGTTTTTCAATAACTATGCATTATTTTTTAAATTTTTTTCATTTTTTTAAAGTTTTATTTATTTAAGTGATCTATACACCCAAGATGGGGCTCAAACTCACAGCCCTGAGATCAAGAGGCATGTGCTCTCCCAACTGAGCCAGCCAGGAGCCCCAATTTTTAAATGATTTTTAGGTTCTCTTAAATGTAAGCTATTCCCAAATAGCAGATGAAAAAGAAAATACTTACTTTTTTTTTTAAAACAATCTTCCCTTGAACATGAAATAATAGCTTAGAATATTCTAAAAACAGTTATAGTTTCACAGAATGGCTTTTGTTTTTGCTTTGTCAGCTCCTAATAGTTGCAAACTTCTTGATTTGGTAACTATATTCACGTGTGCTGTAGTCGAGCCTGGAAAAAAATGAAAAGTCATTAGGGCCATGTCCTAGTATAAGTGGTGCTTCGTTTTAGCTCTTCTTGTCAGATGGGTCTGTTATGTTTCCGTACTTGCTCCACTATTCTCCAAACAGCTACAAACTCATTTTGCCCAATTGGATACACTTTGGATTTCTGATGATTAGAATGAAAACTGCAAGTCCTGTATAGGACTCAAGAAAACTAATTTCCCTCCACAGAGCTCTTATGAGATCAGTTTGACTTAGACATGACATGACAATGACTGCTCTGGTCATACAAGTTATCTCCCTCTTACGAATTCTCATAGCATACTGTCAGGGTAAATAGTGCCCTATATCATCCTTTATTTTGAACATTTGTATACTAGTATTATCTCACCTATTACATCATTTGCACTTTAAAAGTAAATACAGAGGTGCCTGGGTGGCTCAGTTGGTTAAGCTCCAACTCTTGATTTCAGCTCAGGTCATGATCACAGGCTAGTGAGCCTGCTTAAGACTCTCTCCCTCTCTCCCTCTCAAAAAAAAAAAAAAGGTAAATAGAGACTATAACTTTTATTTTTAAAAAATTTTTTCCCTTACATAATCTCATCCTCTAATGTGGGGCTTGAACTCACAACCCTGAGGTCAAGAATCACATGCTTCACTGACTGGGCCAGCCAGGTACCCCAAGACTACAAATTTTATCTTATTTATTTATTTTTAACTTATTTTTTTAAAGATTTTATTTATTTATTTGACAGAGAGAGGGAACACAAGTAGGAGGAGTGGGGGAGGGAGAAGCAGGCATCCCGCCGAGCAGGGAGCCCGACGCGGAGCTTGATCCCAGGACCCTGGGACCATGACCTGAGCCGAAGGCAGATGCTCAACGACTGAGGCACCCCCATTTTTAACTTTTAAAAAAGATTTTATTTATTCATTTGAGAGAGAGACACAGAGAGCATGAGTGGGGGGAGGGGCAGAAGGAGAGGGAGAGGGACAAGCATACTCTCAGCTGGGCCCAGAGCCCGATGCAGAGCTTAATCCTAGGACCCCAAGATCATGACCTAAGCCAAAGTCAGATGCTCAACTGACTGAGCCACCCAGGTGCCCTTCAAGACCATAACTTTTAAATAGCATTTTGTCTCCTTGAGTTCTAGATCAGGATTTTGCATCTCTGCAAATTCTCTTTTCTTAAAGATTTTATTTATTTATTTGACAGAGAGAGAGATAGTGAGAGCAGGAACACAAGCAGGGCGAGTGGGAGAGGGAGAAGCAGGCTTCCCGAGGAGCAGGGAGCCCGATGCAGGGCTCGATCCCAGGACCCTGGGATCATGACCTGAGCTGAAGGCAGATGCTTAACCGACTGAGCCACCCAGGAGCCCCGCATCTTTGCAAATTCTTAGTAAATGTCTAATTCCCAAAGGAATTCATTATAAAAAATATATGAAGTGGTATGCACAAAAATAGCTCATAACTGAATTACAGAAATATAAATACTCTTTAATAGACAATAAAATGAATAAATTAATATTTATTAATATTATTATTTATATTATAAATTAATCTTGATAATGAAATACTATATAGAGATTTTAAAATACAACAGTACTGGGGAGGCTGGGTGGCTCAGTAAGTAAAGCATCTGACTTCAGCTCAGGTCGTGATCTCAGGGTCCAGGATTGAGCCCCGTGACTGGCTCAGTGCTCAGCAGGGAGTTTGCTGTCTCTCTCTCCCTCTTCCTTTGTCCCTCCCCACCACTCGTGCTCTCTCCCCCCCACCCCTCTCTCAAATGAATAAATAAAATCTTTAAAAAAATGCAACAGTACTATGGTCAATGCATTATTAAATGAGGCAAGCAGGTTACAGAATTTATATATTATGTGATATCCCTCTATAAAATCATACAGAAAAAATATTTGAATTATATCCATCAAAATATTAAGAATATTTCTGGATGAAGGAATTTTTAGCAAGTTTCTATTTTTGCATTGTTTATGTTTTTCATAATAAAAATCGTAACAATATTGTTTCCATTTAAAAATAAATAACCATAATGGTAGTTGGTATTTATTTTCCTGGCAGTAGGAAAATTATGAGCAACTGAGAAAATGTCTATGACACGAATAGGGACAAAAAAGGAAATTAGTGTGACTGAAAACCAATAATAACTAAAAGTTCTTTAACAGTCTTTTAAATGTTGACTCATATTCCCTGGTACATTGATATAGCCTCATTATCAAAAACATTCTATGAATGACCAATTTTTAGGAGAGTTCAAATTAATAAGGCAGTGTATGCAAAGCAGAAAGCATTGTTGTCAGATATAAAGGGAATTTCTTCTCTGTTCAATCACTAATCAGATTTTTGGGTGGGGTCTTTGCAAAATTTGAGCCCTTTTTAATTTATCATTTTGTTTATGACATCCTTTTCATTGTTCTGATTAACATTTTGTAAGCATATTTTTTATTAGCTGGATATGAATGTAATATGAATGCAATAGATGATGGAACATTTCTTCTGCTTCTCTATTGTTGGTTGCAAATTTTGGACATCTCAAAGGCTATTAATAGGTATCACTGTCTTAGATTTTAGACCTGTGGTTCTAAATTTTCAGGGGTCTTGAATCTCTTTGAAAATCTTATGGAATCTTAAACCTTCTTCAAAGAAAAAAATCAAATGAATAAATACCTGCAAAAATTGTGCATAAAATTTCATAGAGTCTGCAGAGCCCTGACGTCTAAGGGTGGGGACGAAGACCTTATTTAAAACTCTGCTATAATGACTAACTCACAAACATCAAGTACTACTAACTATATTTTTTTATTTCTCATAATTTATCAAAAGCACAATAAGAATTTGGCTTGAAGCAAATTTAAGACTACCCAAAACCCAAAATGCCCCCAAATCAAATTAGATCTAGTCACTGCAACAAACTTTTTTTTTTCTTGAGAGTGAGCAGGAGTGTGGGGGTGGGGCAAAGGGAGAAGGAGAGAGAGACTCTTAAGTAGGCTGCACTCCCAGTGCAGAGGCCAGTGTGGGGCTTCGATCTCACAACCCTGAGATCATGACCTGAGCCAAAACTGAGTTGGACACTTAATCGACAGAGCCACCCAAGCACCCCCACTGCAACAAACTTCTATCCTATCCAGACTTCTGGGATGTGGCTGTACCAGACATTAAAATATACTGCAAGGCCTCTATAATTAAAACAGTAGTAGTGCATAAATAGATGGTAGTAGTGCATAAATAGATGAACAGACCAGTGGAGCAGAAGAGAAGGCCTAGAAATAGTACCAAGCATATTTGGAAATTTAGTATATAATGGAGATTGATGGCATCACAAGTTTTTAATAAATGGTGTTGGGAAAACTGGGTAGCCATTTGAAAAATATAAAATTAAATCCATTCCTCATACCATATACAAAATTAAGCTCCAAATGTATCAGAGATCTAAATGGAAAAAGATGAAACCATACAGGTATTAGAAAAGAACACAGGTAAATTCCTCTTTAATCCTGGGGTTGAGAAAGTCTTTCAAAGTCCAGAAGTAATGAAAAAAATATTGGTAAATTTGACTACATAACATTAAAAAAAAATTGAATGGCAAAAAAAAAACAAACCCAAAAAACCAAAAAACCCACCATAAACAAAGTTAAAAGACAACTGACAAACTAAAAGAAAATACATGCCCCATACACCACCATGAAGGACTAATATCCCTCATATGTAATGAATTCTTAAACATTGAGACAAAATACTGAAAGAAAAATAGGAAAAAGATATGAACAGATAAATCACAAAATATATGTAAAAATGGCCCTTAAGCATATGAAAAGATGTTCATCAACATACTGGAAGTCCTAGCCAGAGCAGCTTTAGGCAAGAAAAAAGAAGTAAACGGCATCCAAGTTGGAAAGGAAGAAGTAAAGTTATTTCTGTTCTTAGATGACATGATCGTACATGTAGAAAACCCTAGAGATTCCACACATACACACACACACATCTGTTAGAACTAATAAATTCAGCAATGTTGTAGGATACAAAATCAACTCACAAAAATCAGTTGCATTTCTACACAGTAATAATGAAATAGATCTCTATTTTTTTTTAAAGATTTTATTTATTTATTTGAGAGAGAGAAAGAGAGATAGAGAGCACGAGAGGGAAGAGGGTCGGAGGGAGAAGCAGACTCCCTGCTGAGCAGGGAGCCCAATGTGGAACTCGATCCCGGGACTCCAGGATCATGACCTGAGCTGAAGGCAGTCGCTTAACCAACTGAGCCACCCAGGCACCCAAAAACAATTCCACTTATGATAGTATCAAAAAAGGACAAAATATTTCGGACTAAACTTAACCAAGAAAGGAAATGACTTACACATTGAAAACTACAAAACACTGCTGAAAGAAACGGAAGAAGACATAAATAAGATATCCTGTGCCCAAGGACTGGAAGACAAATTCCTATGTTGAAGCCTGAACACCTACTGTCACTGTATTTGAAGACAGGAGCATTGTGGAAGTAATTAAGATCAAATGAGTTTGTAAGGGTAGAAGTAATTAAGATTAAATGAGTTTTTAAGGTGGGGGGTCCTATTAGTCCTATTAGTATGCCTATAAAAAGAGACACTAGAGAGAACTTGCTTTCTCTCTCTCTCTTTTCCTGTGAAGATACAGCAAGAATGTGGGCATCTGCAAGCCAGGAAGAGAGCCCTAACTAGAAACCAACTATGCTGGCACCCTGGTCTCAGACTTCCAGCCTCCATAACTCTGAGCAGCCTCAGCTGACCAAGACAGTTATCAATACTACCTAAAGGGATATACAGATTCAATGCAATCCTTATCAAAACCCAATGATGTTTTTTGTAGAAATAGAAAAGTTCATCCTAAAATACACACAAAATCTGAAGGAACAGTCTTGAAAAAGAACAAAGTTGGAACACTGAACACTGTTCATTGGAACAAAGAACACTGATTTCAAAACTTATTACAAAGCTACAGTAATCAAAACAGTGT